AAAAAAAAAAAAAAAAAAAAGAGGGCGATCAAATAAAGCAGAAGATAGAAAAATGTACTTGTCAGGGTTTTGTTTCTTTTGGAGGGGGTGTTTGGATATGAACTGGAGACACCTCAATGTGCAGTGTTTGGAGTTTTAGGGTGACTAGGGAAGGCCCCTTAGATCTCTGCAGGGGGCAGGCGCGAACAGGCTGGTGACAGTGCCACTGGCTCCCTGCCCCACTCACCTATGTGTGGTGGCATCACAGCCACATACTTCAGGCCCGACTCCTGCAGCACCTTGTGCATCCGGATGTGGTCATCGGTCACGTCCTGCAGTCGTGGGGGCACCTTGGCTGGGTCCCATAGCAGGAAGGCTGAAAGGGGGACACGGGGCAGGGTCAATCTGGTTTGTCTCATTCTGGTGCCAGGACGAAACTCTGCAGTGGCTCACACTGCTCAAATTTCTCTCTCTGCAGGACTGGTGACTGAACCCAAGGTCTTCACACTGAGCTACATCCCCAGATCTTTTATTTTTTTGCAGACAGGCTCTCATTACATTGCTTAGCTGGGGACTCGAATTTGCAATCTGCCCGCCTCAGCTTCTCAGAGTGCTGGGATCACAGGTGGAGCCATTGCCATCACACCTGGACTGTTCACAGCAATTCCAAATCAGACTTCTCATCCTGTCCCGAACTGTCCACTGTGGCCTCTTGCTCCTACTGGGCCGCAGGTCAAGGTGAAAGCCACGCCCTCAGCATGGACGACCCCAGAGGCCCCACTGGGCGATCCCGCCGGCTGGCAGACATCCACTCAGCACCCTCCTCTGCAGCTGCAGATCCCTGTGTCCCACTGCAGTTCCCTCTCATGGCTCCCTTCTTCTTCTGGCACAGTTTGATCAGGGGCCACTGAGCAGTGCAGCTTTCCCTGACCACTTACTTAAAACCGCCACCCTCCGCCCTCAGCCTGTACAATCCTTGTTCCCTGGCTTGTCTTTTCCCCCAGCACCTTCCCTACTCTCACACCAGTTTCCCCAGGTCCTAATCGATTATTTCTCTGCTCCAGGACCAGGTCAGCTCCACAGGGTGGGGGGCTCTAGTGTTAGAAGGGTCTGGGACACACACACACACACACACACACGCACACATATATATATATTTTTAATGGTGATACTAGGGATTAGACCTTGGTACTTTGTCTTGAGCTACATCCCCAGGCCTTGTCTAATTTTTTTTTTGAGACAGGGTCTCACTATGTAGTTGAGACTGACCTGGAACTCAGTATATAGCCCAGGGTGTTCTCAAACTCACAGCGATACTCCTGCCTCAGCCTCCCAAGTGCTGGGATTACAGGCGTGTGCCACCATGCCAGGCTTTAATTTTTTCTTTTTTTGAGACAGGATCTCATTATGTAGTACAGGTTGGACTCAACCTTGCAACAACCCTCCTGCCTCAGCCTCCCGAGTGCTGGGATCACAGGGTGTATCACCACATCCAGCACTTTTCTAAAAAAATTTTATAAAATCTTGACATGAGATCTTGCTAAAATCTGAGTTGCCCTGGTTGGACTCACATTTTTTATCCTCCTGCCTCAGCTCCCCAGAATTCTGGGATTTCAGGTATGTGCCATCACACATGGTTTTTAAAACTCTTGAGACAGGTTCTCACTAAGTCACTAAATTGTCCAGATGGGATTAGAATTGTGATCTTCCTGTCCCAGCCTCTGAGATGTTGGGATTATAGGTGTGCACCACCATGCCTGACCAAATTTTTTTTTTGTACCGGGATCAAACTCAACTCAGGACCTGACCACTGAGCTAAATCCCTGGGTCTTGACTACTAAATATCTTTTAAGGCATCACGAAGCCTTAGCAGAGCTAAATTTCATGCTCACAGTGATAGCACACTTACAACGCTCCAACTGTGCTGTGTGTTTTAGGCACAGTTTGGCGAGATGAGAGCTTTGGTTCGGTCTTGGCTCCAATTCTGGGACCTACCACTGCCCAACTGTCTGTCTCCTCGCATGTAAACTGGTATGGTGCTGGCTGGGGGTGTGGTAGAGAATGTGCTTAGTATGCCTAAGGGCTCTGTCTTCTGATTCCAGCACCAAAACCAAGTCACTCCTAATTGTCTCACTGACTCCTGGGCAGCAGGATTTCCTCTTAACATGTGAGACAACCAAGGCTCAGAGTCTAAAGTGAGGGCCTCAGGCCACTCAGCAAGAGCCTCCGAGCCCAACTTGCCTTCCTCAATCGGCAGAACTGGACACCTCCAGCCTGCAGGTGGCAATTGCAAATCCAGTCTGTCAGGTACCCTGGGTTTCTCTCTAAATCCTTTAGGAGGCTCCTTCAAAAATCAAGCCAACCCACACATGGGGGCTCATGCCTCAATCGCAGCACTCTGGAAGGTTGAAGCCGGAGGATCGCAAATTTGAGCCCAGCCTGGGTAACTTGGTGAGTTATTGTCTCAAAATAGAAAGTATGGCTATAGCTGTGGATGTAGGTCAGGGCAGAGGCCCTGGGATTCAGTCTACAGTATAGAAAACACAAAGAAACAAAAACAAAAGGGCTGGAGATTTAGCTCAGGGGCTCTACCAGCTGCCTTAAAAGTGCAAGGACCAGAGTTCAATCCCCGGTACCACCCCAATGGATAAACTCTAAGCTTCTCAGAGAACGAAGATCTTTCTGATCTTTTACCTTGAAACTTGTATACAGTAGGAGTATCTGACACTAATGATTAGGGGCTAAATGTGTCCTCTTCTTTTTTTTATCATGTTCCAGAAGATAAAGTCCCTTTCTTAGGGGACTGAGGGCTGTAACTCCACATCAAATAGTTTAGGAGGGAAAAAGCAAAACCAAAAAACATTCATATATCTGTGGGCACAGATAAATCAATTATAATACATATTAGCAGTTTTGGAATCAAGGTGGCAAGACTATAGGTGTTCCTCCTCCTCCTCCTCCTTCCATTTTTCCTGCTTTGGAAGTGTTTCTAACAAGAAATTGGAAGCCAGGCAGTTTCACATTCCTGTAGTTCCACCTGTTTGGGAGGCCAAGGCAGATGGATTTCTGGAGTCCACTAGTATCAGATCAGCCTGGGCAACATAGCAGGAACTCGTCCCCCAAAACAGAAAAACTAAGAGCAGACCATCCTAAAATTTCAGGTTTGGGAATACTTTCCCATTTTAAAGTTTGAGTTGGGGTGGGGAGCACCAAATGATTTTGCTTCCTGCCCTCCGGCTCTGGCTTCCAGGTCTTTGCTCTTATGGTCTCTGCTCCCCAGAGAACCATTTTTCCTGCCCTATGTACTCCTCATGCCACCTCCTGTCCCAAGGAGGCCACCTGTGGATGAACACAGTGGGGAGGAGCGTGAGCCAGGCAGACAACCGGCTGCACCTGGCGAGAAAGCCAGCTGGGCCCCACACCCTGAGCAATCCCAGGGACAAGAGTCATGCCAGCTGTAGTGGCGCACACCTGCAATCCTAGCACTCGGGAGGCTGAGGCAGGAGATTGCCGCAAGCTCAAGGCCAGCCTGGGCCACACAGTGAGTTCAAGGTCACCTTGAACTGTATAGAGAGACCTTATCTCAAAAAACAAAACCAAAAATAAAACAACAAAAACAAAAAAAGCCCCAAACCAAACAAAACCCCCAAACAGAAAACAATCCCCCAAGTAAAAAGAATAAAAAATATAAATTAAAAATAAGAGTAACAATAGCTAGTACCTGCTGAGCACCTACTGTGCATAGCCTGAGTGTAAGTATCCAAAGGAGTTGTGTGAGAATTAACTGGCTTTCATCCAGGGAAACATACAGGACCTAGCATCCAGTAAGTGCTCAATAAATGCTGTTCCCATGAATTGCTCTCTGTAGACTTCTTTCTGGATCACTCAGTACTGCTATTTGTTTGTTTTTGCAGTGCTGGGATGGAACCCAGAGCCTTGCAAGGACTAGGCAAGTGCTCTGCCCCCGAGCTATAGCCCAGCCTGGCAGGACAACGATTTGGATTTGTTTAATGTCCAGATTTGGATTTGCTTAATGTCCATCGGTTGAGAGCCGGCTGTAACCACAGCACCACCACCTTCCTCTGTGAGGTTCCTCCCGGGCTTCTCTCTTCCTGGCTCTGATGTCCCTGCCTGTGCCTGCTCCATCCCACCCTGCTTAGCTTGGATGTCAGTTTGTTCACCAACTGTGAGCTCTGTGACTGCACAGCCCAAGGCCATACGGATCCCTGCTATGTCCTCAGCATCGCCCAGCAAGATTAAGGCACATGGCTGGCTGGCGCGGTGACTCGGAATGGCTCAATGTCACCTTCCACAGGTCCAGCACTCACCTCCCAGCTCAACCCCATCTCCGTGACCCCACCACCCACCCGAGGTGCAGGCCACGACCTTGTCCACTCCGTGAGCCTTCATGGCTGCCACAATGTTCCGGGCGCCCTCGGACATCACTGTAGTGGGACCTTAGAGGGGACAGAGAGTGGCCGTCACTGGTGGGAGGAGGTGGCGGCAGGGGTGGCAGGGGTGGGGCAGGGGGGGGACGTGGCGCTGGGGGCCGAGGTGTAGGGAAGGGCCGTGGACAGAGGGGGGGCTCAGTACTGAGGTCATTGCCAGTGCCCAGCAGCACAATGACAGCGTCCTGCCCGGCCACGGTCTTATCCACATCAGCCGCCTTCCGCACATCCCCCACTATCACGTGGGCTGGCTGGGGCCCCTCTGACGGCAGCCTGGAGGAGTCCCGCACCAGCACCGTCACTTCGTAACCTGTGGGCAAAGAGAAGACAGCAGTGTCAGTGGGCGTGCAGGCTGGTACTTAGGCCCCAGAGAACACCAGGAACCCCCAGATCCACCTTCTAGGCCTCCTGTTCCAGGTCCATCATCTTCAAACATTTCTGGTGGCAAATAGAGTTGTTAGAATAAGGCAACACACTGACATGGATCCACAACCTCAACCATGCACACATGGAATCCCAGCACTTGGGAGGCTGAGGCAGGAGGATTACAGGGAGTTCAAGGCCAGCCAGAACTTCTTAGTGAGACTCTGTCTCAAAAAGAGGGCCAGGGATTCAGCTCAGTGGTGCTGCTATCCACCTCGAAATCCCAGGTCCCAAGTTCAATACCTGGTACAAAAAAAAAAAAAAAAAAAAAAAAAAAAAAAAAAAAAAAAAAAAAAAAAAAGAAAGAAAGAAAGAAAGAAAACAACAACAACAAAACTATAACTCCATGGAGGCCTCCTGGGGCTCCCCGTGCCCCAGACAGCTCCGGCTTCTAGCAATAAAAGGATTCTAATGCCTTGGTTGTCACTGCTCTTGGGTTCCCATCTATGGTTCAGAAGACTCAGGAACACAGCTACAGCTGCCCAGAGGTTGGCCAGAGCTGGATCGGTCCCAGGTCCTGCTGCTAATGCTCCTTCTAGAAGGAGAGCCCTTCCTTAGTGGTCATAAAAGTATGTGCCTTGCCAAAAGAATTTTGGATAATTGCCTCCTGACCCCAACACACACTGCAAAGTTCCCCCCAGCCAGCCACAGGAGTGCACACCTATAATCCCAGCACTCTGGGAGAGTGAGGCAGGAGGATCACACATGTAAGATAAGCCTGGGCAATTTATCGATTTAGCGAGACTGTCTCAAAAAATAAAAAGGACTGGATGGAGCTCAGTGTGAATGTCCTGGGATCAATCCTCAACCCCACAAAAATAAATAAATACATACACACATTATCAGTGATTTTTTTTTTTTTTTCTGAGACAGTGTGACACCGTGTAGTTCAGGCTGGCCTTGAACTCCAAATTCACCAGCCTCAGCCTCCTGAGGACTGGGATTATAGGCATGTGCCACCAGATGGGCTTGTTTTGTTTTTCAGTACTGGGGATTAAGCCAAGGCAATTCAGAGCCATATTCCCAGCCATTACTGTGTTTTGAGACGGTCTCTCTAAATTGCTAAGTTGCCCAGACAGGGCTAGATCTTCCTGCATCAACCTCTCAGAGTGCTGGGATTATAGGTGTGTGCTTCCCTTCCTCTTAATAGTTTCTTTCTCTTTTTATAAGAACTTTAATTATGCTGGGGGTGGTGATGGGCACCCATAGTCTCTAAAGGTTTTTCTGAAACAGGATATAGAGCTCTTTGGGGGACATGGCTGAGGGTGGGGTGGGGCAGGGAGAGGAGATGGGGCTAGAGGGGGGGTTGAGTGCCCAGCTAAGGCAGTGCTTACCCAGAGCCTGGGTCAAAATGCCGCAGAAGCCTCCAGAAGAGACTCCCACTGTGCAAATCAAGCACAGAATGTTTTCAGCATTTTCTTTTATATTAAATTTAATTTTTTTGCACTATTGAGGACCAAACCCAGGGGGTGTCTACCACTGAACTCCATCACCAGTCCTTTTTATTTTTAATTTTCAGACACGTTCTCATTAAATCGCCAGGTGGGACCCCAGTTTACGATTCTCCTGCTTTAGCGTCAAGAGTAGCTGGGATGGGGCCAGGGATTTAGTTCAGTGGTGCTGCTGCCTGCCTTGTAGGCACGAGTTACTGAGTTCGATTCTCGGTACAAAAGAAAAAAAAAACAAAGAGTAGCTGGGATTAAAAAAAAAAAAAAAAAAAAACACAGGAGAGAAGTCGGGCATGGTCGTACAAGCCTATAATCCCAACATTTGGGAGGCTAAGGCAGAAGGATCACCACAATTTCTAGACAGCCTGTACTACACAGTGAGTTCAAGACTAGCCTAGACTGCATGACTCTGTCTCAAAACAAATAAAACCAAAAAAACCCAAAACTACCATCACCACCAAAAACCTACAGTATATGCTGGGCATGGTGGCATATACCTGTAATCCCAGCACTCAGGAGGCCGAGGCAGGAGGATTGCTGCTAGTTCGAGGCCAGCCTGGGCTACATAGTGAGACTCTCTCTCTCAAAACAAACTGTGGGTGGGTAGCTCAGTGGTAGAGCGTATGCAAGGCTCTAAATTCAGTCCTCAGCTCAAAAACCCAAAGGAAAATCCAGTAGATTGTGATGGCAGAAGGCTGTAATCCCATTTGTTCCAGAGGCCAAGTCAGCGAGATCACGAATTTGAGTCCTGTTGGGACAATTTCACAAGCCCTGCCTCAAAATAAAATTTAAATTTAAAAAGCCCCCCCCCCCGCAAAAAAAAGGCTGGGATGGAGCTCAGTGGGAGTGTGCTTGCTTAGCATGTATGAGCCCTGGGTTGTAGCCTGAGCACTTCAAACGCAAGCAAAGTAACAACTAAAAACAAAACAAAACACACATAATGGGAGAGAAACTTTGCAAATCAAATCATGTATCTGATAAGGCAGCTGTACCTAAAATGGTATCTTTTTTTTTTTTTTTTTTTGTACTAGGATCAAACTCGGGACCTTGCACTTGCGAAGCAGGTGGCAGAACCATTGAGATAAATCCCCTGCCCATGTACCTAAAATATACGAAGAACTCCTATAACACAATAATAAAAAGGTGGATGACTAATTAAAAGTGGGCAAAACATCTGAACAATCTTCCAAATAAGGTATTTAAATGGTTAATAAGCACTTGAAAAGATGTCTGATACCATTACCCACCAGGGAAATTAGAATCAAACCCAGAAGGAGCACTACTGCTCACCTATCAGGCTGGTCCCCAATAAAGATGGCAATGAAAGTACTGGCATGCTTGTGGGGAACCAGGGACCCTCACACCCCCCCATCAGCATGATGCGGCTGCTTTGCAAAGGTCTGGCAGCTCTTCAAAAGATTAAACATAGCACAGCACATGACCCAGCAATTCCACTCTTAGATATAGGCCCCAGGGGAATGAAGACATATTTTTACACAACAACTTGCACATTGTGCGCATTTACAGCAGTGTTATTCATACTAACATTCATCAGCTGCTTAATAGGTAAATAAAACATGGTTTATCCAAACAATACAGCATCATTCAGTCAGAAGATTGTTATGAGTTCAAGGTCAGCCTGAGCTACATGGTAAGTTCAAGGCCAGCCTGAATTACACAGTGAGACCCTGTTTCAAAAAAAAAAAAGACCGTATTCATGCATGAACCTGTAGATGTTTTTTTCTTTGCTAAGTGAAAGCAGCTAATCTCAGAGAACCCATACTATATGATTCTATTAATATGAAATGTTCAGAATAGACAAATCCATACAATCAGGAAGTTGATAGGAGGTTACCTAAGGCTTGGGAAGGATTTGGGTGAAAAATGGGAGGGTGCATTCTAGAAGTTCCTCAAATTGCTATTTAAAGGGAGGAATTGTATAGTATGTGAATTGTAGCTTTAAACATGCAAATAAACATATGAAAAAATGTTCAATATCACTGGTCATTCAAGAAATGCAAATGAAAACAATGCTGAGACTCCACTTCACCCCAGAAAGAATGGCTGCTATCACGAAATCAACCAATAACAAATGCTGGTGGGGCTGTGGGGAGAAAGGAACCCTTCTCCATTGTTGGTGGGGGTGCAGACTGGTACAACCACTGTGGAGATCGGTATGGAGGCACCTCAAAGAACTAGAATTAAAGGTCCCACTTGACCCAGTTATTTCCCTACTGGGTATCTTCCCAGAAGAATTAAAAGAATCATACCAAAGCGATATATGTGTACCTGTGTTTATAGCAGTACAGTTTGTAATAGCTAAAACTTTGGAAACAGCTCAATTGCCCATCAACTGGAGACTAGATATAGAAAATGTGGGGCTTTTTAAAAAAAGTAATACTACTCAGTCTTAAAGAATGAGAAATTAAGCTGGGCATGGTGGCGCACGCCTGTAATCCCAGCACTCGGGAGGCTGAGGCAGGAGGATCGCTGTGAGTTCGAGACCAGCCTGAGCTACATAGTGAGTTCCAGGTCAGTCTCAACTACATAGTGAGACCCTGCCTCAAAAACCAAAACAAACAAACAAAAAAGAATGAGAAATTAGACATTTATACCTAAATGATGCACATTGAAGTGATACTCTTCCGTGAAGTTAATAAGACACACATGTGTCAATACTGAAGTTTCTCTAGTGTGAGAAGCTGCAAGTGTAAATAAGGATCAAAAGGCATAACAGATAATGTGAAATAGGAAGAAAAGGTCCAGAAGAGGAAGGGGAATTGGGAGGGACTGGAGAAAGGAAAGAAGGGAATAGAATTAACATGAGAAAAGGAAAAAATGGAAACAAAGTCTTTGTAAATAGGGAGGGGTGGAGGGGATAAAGGGAGGGTAGGGGAATGGGGAAAAAATAAGAACCAAGATAGAATATGCAAAGGTACAAAGTTCTGATGATGAATATTATATTGTATACCTAAAATGTACCAATAAAATTAATTTTTAAAAAATCTGTCATAGGCTGGGCATAGTGACGCACGCCTGTAATCCCAGCACTCGGGAGGCTGAGCAGGAGGGTCACTGTGAGTTCAAGACCAGCCTGGGCTACACCGTGAGTTCCAGGTAAGTCTCAACTACATAATGAGACCTGTCTCAAAAAACCAAGAAAAATGAAAAACAAAAACCAAACACACAAACAAAAGCTGTCATAGGGCCGGGCATGGTGGCACACGCTTGTAATCCTAGTACTCCGGAGACTGAGGCAGGAGGATTGCCTCAAGTTTGAGGCCAGCCTGGGCTATGTAGCGAGACCCTGTCTCAAACAAAACCAAACAAAAAAAGCTGTTATTAAAATGCAGAAGTGGGCAGGCATGGTAGTGAGAGTCTAATCTCAGACTCTGGGAAGCTGAGGTAGAAAAATCACACATTCTAGCACGACTAGAGAAAGTTAGCAATTTAGCAAGATCTTGTCTCAAAATAAAACATTTGTAAAGGGCTAGGGGTTTAGTTTAGTGGGAAGACCATGGGTTCAAACCCAGTACCACACACACACACACACACACACACACACACACACGAAGTAAAGACAAAACTAAGATAAATTAACCAAAAGGTAGGGTAGCGCCTGGCACAGAAATAAACTCTGTCTTGTTGTTTGCTATTGTTATGCCCTTTAATCATCTCACAACTTCCCCGCTCACCTGGACCAGCCTGAGTCTCCTGGTCCCTTCCCTGGGTCTTCCTTATGTTCCTGGGCCCTGCCTGCCCCTCCAGTCCACCTTCCCTACAGCAGCCAGAGCTTCCCAGTTAGACACTAAAGTGGCTCCCTGTTCAGAGCCCCGCACTGGAGCTCCCACTCTTCTACGGACAGCCTTCAGGGTCCCACAGATTCTGGCTCTTCCTCTTCAGTGAGCCGCATCCTCCTCGACCCCCACTTCTTTCAGTTCCTCCAACACACCGCACTGTTTCCTGCTGCCTGGCCTTTGCACGTGCTGCCCCCTCTGCCTGGAATCCTCTTCACCTCCGCCCAGTCACTTGTACTTCCTTTGCCATGGCCTCCTGCTGACCTGCAGTAAACCAAGAGCCCTGCAGCCCAGGATCTATGTCCTATGCACTGCCATCTCCCTGGCCCTTGACAGACACCAAAGCTCAGGCTTTCTTGTCCCATGGACCTGGGTTCATCCTCTGGCCCTGCCACTTGCCAGCTGAGGAACCTCACACATCCCCTCCTTTGATTGCTTCATCTTCCTCGCCTGCTTTTTGTTTTTTTGAGACAAGGTCTCACTATGTAGTTGAGACTGACCTGGAATTCACTATGTAGCCCAGGCTGGTCTCGAACTCACAGCGATCCTCCTGCCTCAGCCTCCCAAGTGCCAGGATTACAGGAGTGCGCCACTATGCCCAGCTACATAATTGACATTTAATTTTGTTTTGTTTTGTTTTGCTTTTTTGAGACAGGGTCTCCCTGTGTAGTTGACCTTGGGCTTGAACTTACTAAGTGGCTCAGGCTGGCCTCAAACTGATGGTAATATTCCTGCCTCAGCCTCCCGAGTGCTGGGATGACAGGTGTGCTACACCACACTCAGTTTACAAAACTCATATTTCATCTTTGCTTTTGATTTATTTTCCCTGCTACTCTGTGCTGCTCTTCTTTTGTATGTTCGATACCGGGGATTGAACTCATGACTTTGCACTTGCCAGGCAGGCACAACCCCACTGAGCTACATCCCCGGTCCTGTTTGTTTGGTTTTTTGAAATAGAATCTCACTAAGTAATCTAGCCTGGCCTTGAACTCAGTTACATAACCCAGGCAGGTCGTGAACTTACGGTCCTCCTCCCTTGGCCTCTCCAGTGCTGAGAATACAGGTGCAAACCACAGCCACCACACCTGACCCCCACAAATAACATATAATACATAGCAGTAGTGGTGAACTTGTGGCCTGTGTGTCGCAGTGGGCACACAGAGCCCTCTCTAATGGCATGTGAGCCAAGTCACCCCAGCAACCCAGCCTCAGATAATAGTTTTTCTTCTTTTTTTATATTGGCGATCAAACTCAGGCCCTTGCACTTGTGAAGCAGGCGGTGGAACCACTGAGCCAAATCCCCAGCCCAACAGTTGTTTTTCCAAAGTAACCCCTCAGGATTCAGGTTTAATTGCACTGTTGGCATTTTGAGATAAGTAAGTGGGATTTGGTTGTAGTCTGGGCACTCCATCTCTAAAATGTTCACCATTACTGATGTATAGCATGCAGGATTACATATACTTTTATATATATTTATACATACACATAGAAACATACATATTTCCTCTTTAGCTATCCAAGAGTAAATTGCAGAGTTGTTTTTTTGGGGGGAGGGACCAGTATTGAACTCAGGACCTTGTGCTTCTGAGGCAGGCAGTAGAACCACTGAGCTAAATCCCTGGCCCCAGAGGGTGTTTTTTTTTTTTTATATCAACCCTCAGTGCAAAAGATTTTGCTGCCTAATCCAGTGTACCAAATACGTATAAAATATAAAATTTTCATAAAGCTTATATTTAATATGCGATGCATTTTGATAGTATTGTGACCAATTAAATATATTTCAGGACTCACTGTGACCCACAGTTTGAGAAGCACAACTCTAAAGGTAGCTATTGCTGAGAATGTAGCTCAGTGATGCAGCATCTGCCTGGCAAGCATTGAGTTCTTGAGTTCAATTCCTGGTACAATAAAAAAAGCCAATACAAAGTAACTACTATATCTTGTCTACTTTAATAAGGGTGCAGAAACTGAGGCAATTTTAGGTAATTGGGCCAGCACCACAGCTAGTAGGTAGAGAAAGTAAAATTTTAACCTAAATTGTGTCTGATTCCATCAGATCCTGAACATAACGTGAGGCTATAATTTGAATTCAGTCAGCCAGGAAGCATCAACCACACACTGGCTATGGTCCTAGGTACTTTACTCATAGTATCTCATTTAATGCAATCATAAGTACCCAGGGCAAGTGGACTAGATTCATTCCCTATTTAGTTAGCTAGCTAGTGGTACAGGGAATTGAACCCAGGACATTTCTTTCTTTCTTTCTTTCTTTTTTTTTTTTTTTAATTTTTATTTTGAGACCAGGTCTTGCCAAGTCACCAAGTTGGTGAGGCTGGGCTGGAACTCTCCACTTGGCCTCCCGCCCTGATTCATCCTCACAGTAGAAGGTTCTAGATGCAAGTTATTTGGTCACACAGGTGGTGAGTGGTGGAGGTGGCCATTCAAATGTGGGGCAGGCTGCACCAGAACCAGTGCTGGTTATTTTATTTAAAAAAAAATTTTTTTTTTTTGCTAGTAGTAGGGATTGGACCTAGGGATCACTGAGGTACATCCTCACCTAACCCTTGCATTTTTATTTTTATTTTTATTTATTTTTTGGTACCATGGATCAAACTCAGGACCTTGCACTTGTGAGGGAGGCACAGTGCCACTGAGCTAAATCCCCAGCCCACCCTTGCATTTTAAAAAATTTGAGACATAGTCTCATTAAGTTGCCCAGACTGGCCTTGAAATTCTGATCAGAAGCTGGGATTACAGGTGTTGTACAGGGCAAGGCTTCTGCCAGGCCCTACAAAACCGCTCTGAAGTCAATAAAGCCCCATTCACCCAGGTCCTTCCTGTTCGTGATCACAGCAGCGGAGACATTCAGAGCAGGGGGACAGCAGGGTCTACCCTAGGTTCCAGTTCCCAAGTTCCCTGGGTGCAGTCCCAGTGGTGACCAGCAGGGTGGGACAGGAGAAACCCAAAGCGCTGGGCATTAAATCCAGATACTCATTCCATGAGTCCACATACTCAGAGTGACTCAGCACATCTCAAGTTCTCCCTCTTCCTTCCCCACTGCTCCCCTAGAAATACTTATCAGCACATTAGTCTTACTTGGAGGCCAGGGCTCCTCTCCTCACCATAAGTCAAAACTTTCTGAGGATCCTGAGGAGGAGGGCACTAGGAAGGGTCCTTCCAAGGGAGGCTGGGCTGAGGCAACAGAGTCCTGGAAGGCCCTGGTGGCCTCCGCCCTTTTTGGGGCACACAGATAGCTAATATCTCAGTCACCAGGGCTGACAGGGGTGGGGCCCTATATCTGGAAGTCCCTGGCCCAGCTGGGAGGTGGTAAAGTGTGCACTTAGGGGGCAGGGGGTGCTGGGGGTGCTGTGCCCTTTCTGGCAAACCTCAAAATTTTCAGCTTCATCGAATTTTCCAGAGCTAGTGCTCCCAAGTCTTCACTCAATGGCTCTTTGATCTCTATTCTGTACACACAGCAACCCACCCATAACCTTTCCAGTTTCCAGCTCCACGTCCAAACCAAGAATCTCCGGACATTTTTGGTGTTTAAGAGTGTGAACTGGATTCAAATCTCAGCACTGTCTCTTACCAGCTGTGTGATACTTGGTGAGTCACTCTCTGCGCCTCAGTTTTCTCCCCCCCCCCGTATGTTGTGCCTCCCCCACTTTCTTTTGAGACAGAGTCTCACTACTCTCTTTGTAGTTCAGGCTGGTCTCCAACTCAGGGCAATATTCCTGCCTCGGCCTGCTTTGTATTGGGATATTACAGGCACGTGCCACCATGCTTGGCTTAGGGCCTCGGTTTTCTCTCTGTCAAGTGGGGTAAAATAAAAGACAGCTGCCAGGATTTAATACATGTGGCAAGAAGGCACTGCACGGCAACAAGCTGATGCTGGCTTAACGGACCCACAACCACCACAGTGACAATCACTAGCACATCAAGAACATTTCATAAGAGCCCTGTGTTTACACCTAACTGTGTCACCGGAGTCTTCCCAGGCTCCCAAGGCCAATTTCAATGCCTGCGCACTCACATAAAACTGAATCTTTTAGCTTCTCTCATTTGTGCCCCCGTGGCCACCGGCTTGGCTCCCTGTCTTCACACACCCGAACCGGGCACTGGTGGCCCCTCAGCCCGGCCTCAGCACCTTGAACCCCTCCCTAGTGCTCTGCCCGCGTGCCCCATGGTATCCCCCACCGGCCCCAACTCATGCCTGCTTGCACCGCCTGCGCCAGGGTGGTGAGCCCGGTCCGGCCAGTAGCGCCGAAGATCGCGATCTTCTTGACAGCCATGCCGCGGGGTCCTGGGTTTGCGAAGCCGAGAAACACGACTCGCGGGAACCCAGTGGCTGCTGGGCGGTGCTCCCCACTTTCTCTAGACCGAGGGATGGGGCGGGGCGGCTCAGAAGGTCCCGCCTGCGCCCCGCCCCCTGTTCAGGAAACTCGGTCTTCCGCAGAAAAGAACGAGAGTGGGTCGGGCTGCGACTGTTTGCAATCCTTGCCGCCCAGCACTACCCTCTCGGACCGCCCGCCACTTAGACTTGGAGCCACGCCCCGTCTAGGACCCGCGCGAGCGGGCAGGGCCAGGCGAGTTTGTCACTCATCGCCCCGCCTCCTCGCTCTAGCGGGGCGGGGCAGGGCGGGGCGCGCTTTAACCTCGCGCCTGCACCTTCGGCGGTCCTGGGCCGACCTGGTACTCGCAATACCGCCCAGGTGCTCCTCCAACAGCGAGGGGATTGTGAAAGAGAACGGGGTGGGCGCGTGGGTGTGACACCATGTAACTGCGCGTCTAGGTACCTGTGCGAACCTCGTGACCCTAAGTACCCACAAGGGAGCTCACGATTGCGGTGACACCTATGCTATCCTTTGTGTTACATTGTGACTGTGTGTGACCCCATGTGTGGTCCGCACCGATGCCGTTCTTTTGTGACCTTGTGGTGCACTGTGGGTGACAATGTGTGTCAGCCCATGTGATATGGCGTGAGTGTGGAGCATAAGCTGTAATGGAGTGTGTGAGACCAATGTGTCGTGGAGGGTGTGTGACACTAGTCTCACTCGAATGTGTGGCTGTGCATGTTACTGTGATGCTCTTTGTGACTTGCTGTGACTGTGTGATGTATGAGTGTGTAGCAGCGCAAGACGTGTCACCCCATGTGACTAGGTGGCCGGTGTGACTAAGTGTGAATGTGTAAAATGTTTGACACGGTTGTGAAGCTGTGTATGATTGTGAGGACATGACACTTTGTGACTCTGGGAGTGTGCGACAGCGTGTGACATGCGTGGTTGAGTGTGACACCACGTTGGTGGTGGCCCCATTTGAGCGTGTCATCGTGTGTGACGCCGTGGGACCCTGTTTCGGTGTGGGGCACAATGTGTGTGACTGCGTGCAGCAACCCGAAGGTTGACCCCGTGCGACCCCGTGTGAGGGAGTGACACTGCGTGGCCGTGGAGTGTGTGTTCGTGACGTTGCAAGTGGTCCCGCGTGCTGGGGGAGTGTGTGAGCCCGTGGGAGGGTGTGACGGTGCCTCACCCGCGTGGCCGGGCGTGTGACGCGCGGGGACCCG